GTTTTAGAACTAATTTCTGATATTTTACAAGATTGTGATCTTTTGTTTCCCATTCTCTTTTGATTTGGTAAATTACTAGAGCTGAATCCCCATAAACCCTAAGCATTTTTACTTTACATTCAATGGCAGCTTTAAGACCCAAAATACATGCCTCATATTCAGCCATATTGTTTGTACAGTCAAAATTAATTCGGCTAGTGAACGGAAAATGCTCTTCATCTAGGGAAACTAATATTTCCCCAATTCCATGTCCCAAAGCATTTGAAGCACCATTAAAAGTCAATTTCCAATATTCATTATTGGACACACTTGCTTCTCCTATTGAAATTGCTATAAATCTTCATCAGGAAAATCAAAATCTATTGGTTCATATTCTTGAGAAGCTCTACTTACAATAAATTCAGCTATTGCACTTCCTTTTACTACTTTTCGACTGACATATTGAATGTCGAATTCTGACAACAATATTTGCCAATGAGTTAATCTTCCAGATAATGCAGGAACTTCATTCGATATTTCAAATGATCAAATTTAGATATGAGTTATGTAGTGTGATACAACATATACTGTCTAAGCCTTCGAGTAGTCCATACTAATGCACATCATAATTTCTCAATTAAAGAATATATGGTTTCACATTCAGTGAACTTCTTATTGAGATAATAAATAGCTCTTTCATTCTTCTCAGTTTGATCATGTTGTCCTAATACACATCCCATTGAATTATCCCAAACCAATAAATAAAGATTTAAAGGTTTATCTGGGATAGGTGCTACCAATATTGGAGTACTCGATAGATATCTCTTAACTGTTTCAAAGGCTTCTTGACATTCTTCATTCCATGTTCCAGAATCATTCTTTCTAAGGAGGCAGAAAATTGGATCACATTTCTCAGTTAGTTGTGAAATGAATCGAGCTATATAATTAAGCCTTCCAAAAAATCCTTGAACTTCTTTTTGTGTTTACGGGGGTGGAAAATCTTAAATAGCTTTGACTTTACCTAGGTCTATTTCAATTCCTTTTTGGCTCACCATAAATCCCAAGAGTTTACCAGAGGTTACCCCAAATGTATACTTATTCGGTTTAAACTTTAACTGACATTCCCTTAGTCTCTGGAAAAGCTTTCTCAGATTCTCAACATGCTCTTCTTTATACTTGGCTTTGACAATCATATCATCGATATAAACTTCTATTTCTTTATGCATCATGTCGTGAAATAAGGTTACCATAGCCCTTTGATAAGTTACTCCTGCATTCTTAAGTTTAAATGGAATCACTTTATAACATAATGTTCCCCAAAAGGTGATGAACGTTATTTTCTCCATATCCTCAAGGTACATTCTGATTTGATTATAGCCAGAAAAACCATCCCTAAATGACAATAAGAATTCTTAGCAATATTGTCCACTAATGTGTCTATGTGTGGCAAAGAAAAATTATCCTTTGGACTGGCCTTATTAAGATCTCGGTAATCAACACACATTCAGACTTTACCATCCTTCTTTGTTACGGGGACAATATTTGCTACCCATTCAGGGTACTTGGCTACCTTAAGAAACCCAACATCAAATTGTTTTTTACTTCTTCTTTGATCTTAAGCAGAATTTCAGGTTTCATTCTTCTCAGCTTTTGTTGCACATGTTTACATTCTGATCTTATTAGTAACTTATGTACTACCAATTCCGTATCCAGTCCTGGCATGTCTTCATATGACCAAGCAAATACATTCTTGTACTCTTACAGAAATTTAATCAAATCATGTCGCCCTTTATCAGATAAAGTGGTACCAATTTTTACCTCATTCTTTTCCATATTGGATCCTAAATTTAAGATCTCAATAGGTTCCTTATGAGGTAGAATTTGTTTATCCTCTTTTTCCACCATTTTTAAAAGTTCATAGGGTAAATCATACCTTTCACCATAATCCTCAACTTCCTCAGGACACACAGGCTGTTCAAAATCAATTTCTGGGCCAGCATCATTAGCATCTATGTCATTGATATTTGAGTTTCTGAAAGAAAAATAAACAAGAGTATATACATATAATCATTAAAATGCATTTAAAAATGATTGTCATTTAGAACTAATGCATCTTTTATACATAGTTTAACCCTTTACACAAAATCAAACTATTACCCCAGGGTATAGGCAATAATGAAAGTTTTGGTGTATTACTCTGAAAAAGGTTTGAAAATTATAGGTAATTCTTTCGCAGTCCAATTATTTAGCTCAAAATCTGATGATGCGGGGTAAATACCCATAGCTTCTTTTATTGTAGATTCATCATCTGATATGTCATTAATACTGATTTCTTTCAAAGCATCTTCAACAACCAGCCTTTTTCTTTGCTGATTTTCTTGAAAAGTATGTCCTCCAAGAACAAAAGTATTATTTTGTAGTGGAAAGGTCATTGATTCCCATGTAAGATCTTCTTCAGCTAACTTTGCCTTTCTTAATTCCTGATTCTTTCTAATGTTCCTCTGTCTCTCTTTTATTGTGGGCTGATATCCCAAACCAAATCGATCTTTCTTGGAGATAGGAAAGACTGAATTCACTGGTCTTTGCAAATAGATTCCTAAACTTTTTCCTGTTTTGCCCCTTTTCCTAAGGTCAATCTGAGTCCCACTTTTGTGTAATTAGAAATTGTGGGTTTAGGCATCATTTTCCCCTCAGCTACAAAATGTCGCGTTGACAAACTCCAAGGATCTGAAAAAGAATTCAATAGCTTCCTCATCCAATTCGACATATGGAGTAGTGGTAGAGACTGAAGCGATAATGTCTTCTTCAATATTAAGACATATTAGCCTACCATCTATTACAAATTTTATCGTTTGGTGTAACGTAGATGAAACTGCCCCTTCTTGATGAATCTAGGGTCTTCCCAACAAATAATTGTAAGTGAGTATTATATCCATTACAAGGAACTCTATATCATATGTAGCTGGACCAATAGTTAAGGGAATATCGATTTTTCCTAATACCTCCTTCTTGGTTCCATCAAAAGCTCAGACAATACTCTGACTACTTCTCATGAATGTTCTATCAATTGGTAATTTCTTCAGAGTCACTAATGGCATCACATTCAAAGCCGAGCCATTATCCACTAACACTCGAGATAAAATATGTCCTTTGCACTTAACTGTAATATGAAAAGCTTTAGGGATACCATTCATTTCAAAAGGAATTTCATCTTCTGAAAAAGAAAAGAAATTATCAGCTTGTATATTTGCAATCAGCCTATCCAATTTGTTAACAGGCAATTCCTTTGGTACGAAAGTTTGGTTCAACACTTTTATCAAAGCATTACGATGTGCTTCAGAGCTTAATAGAAGTGCTAGAACTGATATACGAGCTGACAATTTGTGCAACTGTTCAACAATGTTGTATTCACTGTGCTTGAGAAACTTCAAAAATTCTATATCTTCGATTTCAGTTACAAGTTAAGTTTTCAAAATTCGGTATTTTGAACTTAGGTGGTAATACCAAATCATGTACCAAACTTAATTCCTTGGCTTCAATTCCATACACATTAGAGCCTTCTTTTATTTCCCTAACTTCTTCCATTAGTTGTTTCAGTTGTTTGTTTGACTCTTTCTCTGCTTCTTGATCAAAATCTGGAACATTCTCAACTTGTTGTTGATTTATAGATGCACTAGGTAAATTTATGTTTACCCTCCCTGTTTGAGTAAATGCCCTTGACTGGACTTTATCGTGAGAGGTTACATGATCCGGGGGGTATAAAGGCTCCTCAGTTACTTTAGTTTTTAGGCTATTTGCCCTTGGTGTAAAGTCTGGAGGATACAAAGGATCTTCAGTGAAAGCACCAACAGCTGGGGCATTTGTTTGATCCATGTTTTTCCTTTGTAACATACTTGCGATTTTTTCCATCATCTCATTCTGGGATTTCATCAACTGCTCATGTATTTCTTTCTGGATTTTATTGAAATTGTCTTGCATCTTAAGTTGATTCCTTTCAATTTGAGCGACCTTATCATCAATTGCCCTTTTTCTTATTTTATATGGATTCTTAGGGGTCCAGTATTCTTCGAAAAAGAAGAAAAAATATTTTTAATGAATATGGATGAAAAAAATATAATGTCAAAATGTTCATACTCAATTATGTAAATGCAAGGTGTTGATATCAAGATAATTTCTTTAGAAAAGCTTTTATATTAGAACAAAGTCTTATTGCAAAGCTTTTTAGAACATAGTACAAGCTACAAATACATCTAAGCAGCTTCTCCTAACTATTGTATGTGTTCAAGTAACTCAAAGACCTTATGAGCTTCTTCGATTCCTAGTTCCAATTCCTCACTTAAAGTATTAGCTTCGTATGCTAAGTCCACTAGATATTGTGCCACTCCCTAACCTTGCTCTAGATACTTTACAATGAGGTCATCTCTTTGTTTGACATTCCATTGAGCGCGTTCCCAATGGTATCGCCATTGCAAAATTCCTTCGTACGGAACAATAGAGAGTTTATTCGCCCTTCTCTTAAGATTTTGGACTTTGATTTCCAGCTCATTCACTTGCTTTCTTAGATTCTTAACTTCCGAGTTACTTTCTTGACTTTGCAGTGCAATTTCCAACCTTTCAATCTTGCTTAATCTCTGGTTTTGAGCTTGATTTTCCAATAGTCTTTGCTCCAATGCCTCCTTTTCTTTAGCAAGCATCTTGGTCTGGTGTTTGCTTCATTTGAGCCCATCTTTACCTTCTTCATCTTTTCTTTTCAGACCTATCAACTCTTGTTTGCTTGATCCTTCAGCAATCTGAGTTTTTACCATCCATTGATAGGTTGACTGGAGATCGTTAAAGTCAATCCTGAGCTATTTTTCAACCTTGGTAACTTGATCTGCTCGCCCTTTATGGATATCTATCTCAATTTCTTTGTGATAGACTTTTTCTTCCATATTTTACAGAGTCTTTCTCCACTGCTTTCTTTTGACCTCAAAATCTTGTTTTACCAGTTCCAATGAAGATGGTAAAATTCTTAAATGTTCTTAGATGGTTTGAACATTCTCAAAATTAACCACTGGAATGTTTTCGTTGACACGGTTGATTCTCCATTGTTCGTATTCAGGTGAGAGCTTTTGACTGGAAGTAAATAAATTTACTCGATGAATCCACTTCCATGCCTCAGTAGCCTTTCTGATATTTTCCTTGTATTGATCTCTTCTGAATGCAAATTCTGATTCGGATAAACCAGATGTCGCGAGAATAAACTGTCTTGATCCATATTGTCTGGAGACCATCAAAGGTGCATATCCTATAGAACCCAGATGCCAGGAAATGGAATCCAATCGTGGTCTCCTCACTTATATGTCATGTTTGAAGAAGTATTTCATGAAGCTCACCATAATAAGTCTTTATCTTCAAGGTTTCAAAAGATGTTCATCCATTTTTCCTCGTCATAATTTCCGGGCCATTTGCGAGAAAAGAAATCTTGTTGAGGTGAAAAACCTTCTAGAAATACTTGTCCAGGAGCTCTTTCTTCATGTTTAAAATAGTTCAGAATCCATATCAATAATAGGGGTGCACATCCTATAAAACGTCCCTCTCCCTCTCGTCTATAAGAATTCAAGGAACGAAATGTTTCAGCTAATATGGTAGGAACTGGATCTGCATTCTTGTTCAATTTTTCAAACAGGTCTACGATCAATATATCCAAATGCCCCAGAATCTTCGGGAAAATGATTAATCCATAAATTCCTAAAGCCAACATATCAACCTGCTTCCTTTTGTCAGCATGGTGGTAGATTACCTCTTTCAAGGCAGCCTAAGTAATGCATTCACTATCACCATTTTTCTTGATATGTCTTATAGCCCATTATTCACTCATCCTGGTGAATAAGAGCATTTTTTCTTGAAAGGGGTAGTATTAGATGACTTGATATATACCCTGTCTTCGTAAATTCTTGGACAACAGATAAGAGCTCGATATTCTTCTATAGTTGGTGTCAAATCTACCTTGCCAAAAGTGAAGCAACTATAAGCAGGGTTCCAAAACTGTGATAGAGATCTGAACAGATGTCGGTCAATAGGGATGTCCAAAAGATAAGCAACGTCGCCATACAACTGATGAGCTGCTTGTGTGATGCTTCCCATTTCTCCCAGATTTCTTTTAATTCACCCAGGTTATTCTGGAGAACGTTGATATGTGTATATTTGACCAGATCTGTAACGTATCCATGTGATAGACTATTTCCCTTGACAAGTTGACACTACTCAGATCATCTTAAAATGACCGCATTATCTTCTACTTCATATTGGACTCTTTGTTCCATATTTCTAGCTCTCTATATGAAATCAGTCATGAATCAACACCATGATATGAAAATGCATAAATGATAATAAAACATAAAATAATTAAATCCAAATTTCATGCAATCTAGTTTCATGCTTTATTTAAAACAACAGACCTAACCGCATGATTTCTAGTTCGCATGCATTTATTCAGAAAATAAATAAAAGACTCAACATGCTTTTCCTTGTGTGTTAACTTTACAAGACTTATTTGGGTTAGGTTTTTTCCGATCTTAAGTTCTATGTTTTACTATATGTTGGGTTTTGGCTCTAGAGTAAAAGGGTCAATGAATTGTCCTTTGTTGGTGTCCCCTTGGACTTCCAAGCCCTTAATCTTGGTCCATTATAGATTTTCGGATTAAGTTCAATTCGAAGGAACACACCTCCTTAAGTCCATACAGAGGTGAAAACCACACGAGAAACATAAGGTGTGAGCTCAAAGAATGGTCCCCTATCCCATACGGAGGTAAAAACCACATGAGGGAGTAGTTTCACATTCGCTTAACACAAGATAAGAGCGGCGTTTTATCTCATGTCATGAATGCAGTGCACACTGGGTGAGGAAAAGCATAAAATAATACACAACCTACTATTCTATTTTTTGATAACCCAAAATTAAATCTGTAAACATAAAAAACAAAAAGTTAGTAAAATAATAAAAATAATTAAAACAAATTTATTATTTACTACAGAAATAAATAATTAATAAATTGGTGGCTGGACTCTTATTTTTTTTTAAAATTTCCCAACGGAGTCGCCAAGTTGTTGAGACGTTTCTCTGCCCTGGCGACGGAGAGTATTTTTTTATTACCATAATTCTAATTTACTAATAATGTAATTTACCCTAAGTTATTTAAAAATGTCAAAGTGTAAGTTATTAGATATACTAAGGACTAAATATAGTATTTAACCTAAATATGTATATATATACGGTAGTGATCATAATATAAATAAATAAAATTAAAGAACGAAATTAAAATGCATAAAACATTATTTTAATGACTAAATTACAAAGTTACAAAATTACAAGGACCTCGGGCTAATTTCCCCCACATCCCAAATTAGGCCTAAAACGCTCAAAGCTTCTCATTTCTCTTCTTTGTTTCTCTCTTTAGAGAGAGAAGCTCTCACTTCTCACTAAAATTCACTCACCGGAGGGAATTCAACCCCGGTCGGTAATCGATCGTAGCCGTAAACCGCCACCGCCGGACACCACCCACATTGGCTGGATATCAACAAAATACACCAAATCACTCCCTCTTTTCTCCTAAACATGAATCCAGTATCCTTTTTCCCTAAAACACCCTAAATCGCAGTAGATCTAAGGAAATATACCTTCGAAGTTTGACTTCTCAGGCCGCACGTGGAGGCGCGTGAATTCTTTGATGGTGGTAAAACTTCCTTCACTCTCTTCTCTCAATATTTTAGTGGATTTTGCCATATATTGGGTTGCTATTTTTACTTGGTTGCTTGCTCTTGGTTCTTTTCCTTTGTAGGTTCGACCCTATTTATAGGGCTCTTTGGTGCATCTTTTTGTCCGGTTAAAAGTCCATACCCCGGTGAGTCACCGGAGTTACGGTGGTGACTCACCCTAGGGGAGATGAGTTGTGCGGTGGAAAGGAGGATGAGTGCCTTAAATGCACCCAGATCTTGCAGATCCGGCGAGGACATGGCTACTGCTGGTTGGAGAGTTCGGCGATGGAGGCATCATTATCTCTACGGTGGTGCCGAAATAGCCCTAGAGTTACAATGAGTACCCTAGGGTTTGGTTGGTTCACTTCTGGCAGTTGATTTGCTTCCTAGATCGGATGGCTAGGATTCGTGCGGCGTTGGAACCTTGCGTGAAAACCCTAGCTGCTGGTGGGTTCGCCTCTGGGCCTGTTGGGCTGCTAGGTCCAAGCCTGGTTCTTCACCGAGTCTCTTGGGCTGCTCGGATGGGTTCCGAATTGCTTGTAACATAGCCTTGGGTTGTAATCGGGTTTTGTAATTTGGGCCTTCAGGTTGTATTTTATTTGGGACTTGTAAAATTGTAAATATTAAGAATAATAATAATAATATAAATATAATAATTTTTCTTATATTTATTATGTATATAATAATAATAATATAAATATAATAAACGTCCCTCGAACGAAAACTATTGTCGACACCCAGGTCATGTTGGTAGCATAAAAACAATATGGATATTATTCATACAATATCGATACTCTTTGTTTAATATTGATATTAAATTCAAGTACTAGAAAATTTAGATGAATTTATGCTTAGATTGACTTGTGAATTCTTAGTTTAGAAACTCATTGTGTTACAAATTCAATTTATGTCTTTAATATTTATTTTGAAATTGTTTATTTTGAGTTTTTATATCAAAATCACAACTATTTTTCAACAATTGTTTTATATAAAAGGTAATTAACTTTTTTAGGATAAAATACATTGTTACTCATTGAATTTTTAGGGCACTTTCACTTTGGTCATTAAAATTGAAAATTTTCATTAAGTCACTAAACTGTTAAATTATTAACTACAGTTAGTGATGACACTTGTTATTATCTTATTGGTGAAAATTAAAACATAAAAAACTTGCGGAGCTTTTTGGGAACTGAACTTGAAACTTGAAGTGAGGCATGTTATATCTAATCAGTAGGTTAAGAAGGGAGTTGTGATATTTTGAGAAAATATAGTATTTAAATTAAAATGTATTTGGTGGAAATTAAGAGATAATACATGAGGCTTAAGGGAACAAACTTGGGTCCTTTGAGCTGACTGTGTAATGTCAAACCATTCGGCCCCATGAAAATTATGATATATTTTAAAAAATATATAATTAGTTAATTGTATCATATGTCCCCAAATTATATCCTTTATTTTAAATTGATCCTTAAACTTTATAGTACTTCAATTTCATCCCTAATGTATGACTTTCATTCTAAATTAGTCATTAAACTCTTGAACATTCTAATTTCATCCCTAAACTATGCCCCTCTTTCTAAATTAGACATCAAACTTTTGAATATTCCAATTTCATCCCCAAATTCATCTAACTATGTAATTAGTTTCAACCATAATTTAACCTAAATTTTATTTTTTTTCAAACATATAATAATATAACTTGGCCTAACAATGTTATTAACAAGTGATATGATTAGTATATATGTATAGTTTGGGATGAAATTGGAATGCTTAAAAAGTTTGGGGACCAATTTAGAATGAAGGTCATAGTTTGGGGATGAAATTGAAATGTTTAGAAGTTGAAGGACTAATTTAGAATGAAAGTCATAGTTTAGGGATGAAATTAGAATAATTAAAAGTTTAGAGATCAATTTAAAATTAGGGTCATACTTTGAGGACATACGGTGCGATTAACTCAAATATAATATGTAAGTTAAATTATGATAGATAAATTAATTTTATTTATTGTATGATAAACTATAATAATCATAACATAAATGATAAAATGATATAAGATCATACTTTTAACATCAATTACAATATATTAATTTTACAAATATTATTTATCTTCTCATAAAATAAATAAATTTATTTTATAAATAAATAATATTTTATGAAATTTATTTTATGAAAAATTAGATTAAATATTATTTTGTAATTTATATTTTCATAAAATATATAGATTCAACATTTTTTTTATAATTTATGTTATGGATTTTTATGAAATAATTTATATTTTCATAAAATACATGAAACTAATTTATTTTTCATAATTTAACTTAATATTATATTTTGTTAAAATTTACCATTTTCTTGCTTAGCTTAATGGTTTGGTGTTGCACTAGGTTCGATCGCTCTCACCCTCATATATTTTCCCTTGATTTTCTACCAAATATAATAGGCATTAAATATTATATATATATATTTTTTTCTAAATATCACAATTTCTTTGCTTAACTCAATGGATGGGTGTTATTTGCTTCTCTTAGATATGTATCATTATCTTGTTAGTAGATATTAATTTATTAAAAGATGATTTGTGAGTGTGCCATGTCAGTTTTCATTTGACATATTGACTATAAACGATCCAATAACTTTGATAATAAAAAAAATTAATTTTGATGATCAAAATAAAAATATTCTAAAAATTCAGTGATTACCGATGGAATTTACCGTCTTTTATTTTTTCAACAAAAAGTAACACAGCCTTGTTTGGGGGGGGTCTAGAAGCTAAAAATGTATCTATTGATGGAACGAACTTTACCTTACGAAAAGGGTAAACATTAAATTTTGTGAGACTGTAAGTGGCCTATGAATTTTCAGTGGGAGGGTGAAATTATAACACATTCATAGGCTAACTAACGTCAAAGGGTTGAACATAAATTCATGATTTTTTTTCGTTTTGGTTTTTAAAGTTTTGTCCTGATTAATTCGAGTCACACATCTTGTTTTAGTGATCGAATTTTCTAACAAGAATTTTTTACATATATAATAATTTAAATTCAAAATCTAATTAAATGATATTAAATTGATTTTCACTTTAACCAACTCATGTCAGTATAAATTCATGATATTAATGTTGCCCGGAACTTCAAACAACTACGCTTGATCTCACTCTCGATCGCTTTGAAATTCCATTGTAACAACTTATTGCAGATATTACTTTCGTGAACTTTTTTCCAAGGATATTATATTTTGCAATTAGTCAAAGTACTAACACTGAACTCATCTATTATAGTGGGGAAAGTTTTATTAAATATTTTCTGTAACCCTTTTATATATATATATAGAGAGAGAGAGAGAGACGTGTGAACTTTTAGTTCAAAATTTATTTTAATTTTTTTTGTTAT